TGCATGTCTGTCAATTGTATTTTAATCCAAGCACGTTTTTCACGAAACTATGATCAGGCCATTTGATTTGAAGATTGTGAGTGATGCATAGGATTCTTGTACCCATCAGCGATATGTTGCAGACTTCCGGCCAGCTCTGTCTTACCCATGATTGTGTGAACTTGCTGCCAATTTGCATTTGTGATGTCCTTCTAAGAATACAAGCATGGTTTACATCCTCTTGCCTTCACCATTTTGGCCATTCCTGACCAACAGCTGTGAAGTGTAGCTGACCCTTGTAGAAGTGTTTTACAGGTGGAGAATGCTGAGCATGCCACCCTGGGGGCTGTGGACCAATTCCACAGTTCTCATGGTGGTAGTGTGCATCCTGCCATGGCACCCTATTGTGGAAGGGACCATGGGACTGCTCCCAAGGGACCATGGGTGCCACAGAAGGGGACCCTTGGGAGCTATTACCAAACGTCTGCTATCCAATTTGCACCCTTTCTAGGTGTCACCCGGGACTCACCCCCAATCGGTACTCTCCAAAAGTGGCTCTTGGAAGGGGTCACCCAATGGGTGCTACCATCTCCCCTTCCCCTCGAAAACAGCGTACAGTCATTATAGCTGTATTTGGGGTATCTTTTAGTCTAAAATTCTCTTAATAAAGCAATAATCACTGTACGTCTAGCTTTCCCGGGGCGCCCGGCCGGGCATGCGCCCCGGGCACCCCGCCCGGGGTACCCCGGGCATGCAAAAAACCCACCAAGTTTTTTTTTTTTTTTTTTCAACCACCAGACCTTGCTGCGTTTTGGGAGTAATGCCCAAATCCGGCCTCTTTTTTTATTTTCACGTATGTTGATTTCTGTGGGTCGGGGGGGGGTGGGGGGGGGGGGCAGGAGGGGGCAAATTTGAATCCTCTATCAGCATGCACCGTCAATCTACGCAGATCGACGACCAGAATCCCCCCCAAAATTAAAAACCTACAAAACGGGGCCTAATGGACCCCCCCAAAAAATGCGCCGACCGCTGAAGACAAAGTTGGCACGTTTGGAATAGGGCTGCGGCAATAATTTTTTTTTTTTGGCTCTTTCTGCCTTGGTGCGAGAGGCGCCTGGGTGCGGGCATGGTGGGGTACCCCGTGCGCCTGGGGTGGAAAGCTAGCTGTACGTTGTATTCGTGTGAATAAGGTAGGCTGCTGGCCAATTGTTGCCCATGGGTCAAGTCACCCAAATCGGTGCTGTCGATGGCCCTTCCTGCAAGTGAGTGTCATGTGCCTACCCAATCTTTCACGTACAGTTTTCCCCCAAGTACCCCCGTCACATACTGTGGTGCAACCGACTACTCAGTGGTTATGCACACTACAGACTCTGCATGCTGCTCTCCATGGGGCAAGGAAGGGGGATAACTACTCACAGGCTTTTCCTGTTCATTCCAGTTTGCGCAGCCCAGCAAGCTCCACAGTAATGTGAATCGTTCTCCCCTTTGTGACTTTGTGGCAAGCATAAAAAAAAAAGACTCACTGTCTGCAATTGTATGTGTTTGTTGCACAACCCTTCAGTGGTACAGATGATGCCAAGAGGGGTTCAGCATGACCCTGCTTTCCCAGTTTTCTCTCCCTGTGCGCGGACTGCGTGGGGTAGGCACCCTCCCCAAGACAACCAGGTGCTCACAGACTTTCTGTTCTCTCTCTCCTGCTACTCGTGGAGCATGTGAGCTCCCATGCTATGGGAGACATGGGAGATATCATGCAGTCGTACATCGTGTATCATTGCTGGTGGATGAAATCCCGAAGGCTGGGAAGTCGAGGGAGAACAAACCCATGCAAGGATGCAATGCGGACAAGTTCTTTTTTTTTTTTTTT